ACCTAAACTTATTATATGCTTAATTGGACAAGTTGTATCCTTTCCATTTTCTTAAGAAGTTGAAGATTTAAAGAGACCTATAAAACCTGCTGAAGAGTCCAATTAAAACCCATTATAACAGGATCTCCTTCATCTGAGGCTGTAAAGAGAAGTTAACAGTGTGCAGGGAACAGAACTGCATGTTTCCCCTAGTTTTCAACAGGATGCAGATCCTTGGATCGGTCTGGTCCAGGGCAGTGGGTGGGAGAAGATCTGCTTCCAGAATAACGCAGACTGACGCTTGGTGGCTGTGCATTTCTCTGCAGTGATTTGAATGGGGGAACAGGACATGGCTGGTGCTGAGGAAGGGGGTGGGGGGTGGGGTTAGTCCAGTCTCCAGTCTCTGAAATGGAGTTTCCTTCCTGAGGTACTCCATCTCCCATTACAGGCATATCCTGTGCAGGACTCAAGACGGAATAATCCGTCGGGAACATTTGGAAACATTGCTGGGAGCACAGGAGAAAATCCACACAACCATGAGAATCAGGAAAAATACTATTTATTCAGATTAATATTTTCAAGGAATATTACACACGCAGCTCACAGCTCCAGCCCCAGCTCACAGGCCGTCAGCAGACTGGCTACTCTAAATCGCCGGCTACTCATCTCTTCCTCATGAGAGGAGGGGGGGCTTGGTGCCAGTGGAACCAGTACTGAACAGAATAAAACATGCATGTTGTTGGACTGTAGCCAGTCTCATGTATCAGGGTGCCCATACAGATACAGGACATATAATATCAGACCTGTTATTCCCTCCTTTTTTCCCTTATATGGGTGGGCATATATAATTCTCAGCACACAGTGTGCCGGTGGGAACAAGGGTGTCAATAGATAGGCACTATTTCATGAAGTTTTCTCATAGACGTTGGGGAAGGTTAAATCCTAATCTCGCACCCAAGACTTCCCTTTGCCTATCTCTCCCGACCCGCATCTACACCCCAGCAGCAGCTGCATGGCTCATTCCTTGCAGTTCCCTCAGCTAGTCAAATCTTGTCCAATACTCTGTACATATTTCATCTGTCGCAGTCATTGAATCTAAAACAACTACTGGAATAAAGTTTTGAGGACACACAGGATCCAGTAGTTGGTTTAGCAAAACCAAATAGCAATAGCAATAGTTGTTAGCATTGCTGCCTAGCAGCACTGGGACCCTGGGTTCAATTCTGGACCTGGGGTGGTTTCTGTGTGAAGACTGCGTGTTCTCCCCATTTTCACATGGCTTTTTTACAGGTTCTCTGATTTCCTCACACAGTCCAATGACATGCTGGTAGGTCGAATAGCTTCTGGGGAAACTGACCCTGGTGTGAGTGTGTGTGTTTGTGTCTCTCTGCCGTGCGGCGGAATGGCATCCCATCCAGGGTGTACCCTGCCTTCTGCCCAATGCTTGCTGGGACAGGCTCTGGCTCTGCCGCGCCCAAGAATTGGAAGAAGTGGTTAGAAAATGGCTGGAAATCCCACCCACAACACTTGGCCTTCAAGCCGTTAAAGCAGAGCCTGGGCTGTGAAGTGTGTGAGAATATTTCCTAGTCATTCAACCCACAGCTTTGCCTAGAAGCAGCTGGTTTAACACATTCAAACAGGAACTCCTTTCCAAACTGAAATGTGCTTGTGAACATGGACCGCAGGCGAAACAACACAAATTCACAAGGACAGGGGCAGCGGCGCTAAACAAAGATGGGAAAACGACAGTGTTGAAAATCTTTGCTTTTATTATCATTGTCATCACAATAGCAGCGAGATACTGCATATTCTGGACTACTGCCCCACTGGGAAGCAGCTAGGGGTGAGAACTGGTCCACACAGATGGGCCTTGGGTCTGAGGCGAGCCCAGCTGAGCCAGACCAGACCAGTCCAGGCTGATCCAGCACAGCTCACTCTTCAGGAGTGAGGATGAGCAAAGAAACCATGGGGCCCGACCACTTCAGACAACACAGAGCCCCGCAGGACATATGAAGCATTTGTGTTGACACATCATTTACATCTTGTAGACACTATGGAGGAAGGAATTAAAAAAGGCAAACAAAATTCTGCGATCTATTGTTAAAAGCACAGGGTTTAAAACAAGAGGTGTTGTGTTAACGCTGTATAACACACCAGTGAGGCCTCATTCAGAATATTGCAAACACTTTTGGTCACCATGTTACAGAAAAGTTATTGCTGCTCTAGGGTCTGGAAACAGCAACCAGATTCATGTCAGGGTCCCAGGACACAGGGCCGGTGTGGCGCCCCCTCCTGGGCCCGGGCAGGAAAGCAAAATGAGAGAGTCAGAAATCAAAGGCTAGAAAGCAGGGGGCCCAAACAATTTATCAAATCAACCCAGAACCACGCAGAGAAAGAGGGTGCTTTACAGACTCATCCAGCTGGAGGGAAAAAAAGCATGATGAACTGCAAGCATGGGTCACTGTGGAGGCTAAGAGAGAGGAAGGAAGTTTGCAGTGGAAGCCAAAATATTTTTTCTTTCAGTACTAGAGCAGCAGAAGAGCAATAAAGAATGAAATGCAGAGTCTCAGATTGTAATGGGATCATGGGGATGC